CTTGTCACAGAAAAAGAAAAGTCCCCGGCTACCTTATCGGCTTTCACTGCCGAGGAATCTTCTGAAAATGCCCACCTTCGAAAGTTCCGAGTGTATTTTTTAGTTCAACAACAAGATCGTTTCCCGTTTTTCTTACATGTGTTTTTACATACACTTCACAGCCGAGGAAGCCTACAAACATAACCGAGAAGAATAAATTTATTTGAATTAGCTTAGTAATTTTACTAAGTGCATTTTTCTGATTACGATGACTTATTATTAAATTTTAAAGAGATAGACTTTTTAAATTTGAACTTTATTACGACACTTTTCTGGTCTTGGGTTACAGAGATTTTCTTTGCTCTGTTCTCATTACCATTTATCGGGGACCACACGCATGCGGCAAATGTTGAGCGACCCAGGTCTCTGGTAGGCTGCCACAGCCACGTCCCCGAGCCTGCCTTAGGTCACCCATCAAAATTCCAACATGCGTCCGTGATGCTTACCTCGGCAGATCGAAATCTGAGTAACATAATAAGACATCTCATTCTGACTGTTCTCCCATTTTAATATTATTTTGAGTAATTCCAATGAAATACGATAAAAAAAAGTGATTGTTCCACTTATTAATTTTATATGTCACATAAAATCATATATTCCTATTTTACAGAAAAATTCTGTCATTTTTCTTGTGAAATAATTATTGTCGATGGATATGATTCATCGAGATAGACATCTAATTTTCTTAATAATCGTTTTTTATAAAATATTGTTTTGTCATCTTTAATATACCTTTATCTTATCATGTTTACAAGAAAAAAATAAATAAAATCGTCAATGATAGAATATATAATTTCAATTAACACGTTTTTATATTTTGAAATACTTAAACAATCGTCTCAAGTCACATATCCAGTTTCGTTCCGCTAATAAGAAGCATAACAATTTAATATAAATTTACGGACTCCCATGGCAATATGTATCATACTTCCTATTATGGTACGTATTATTAGTACACAAGAGCATATGTTAACATATAAACAAGCGACAGTTTATTTTACACTGAATCTGCTGAATTAATTCAAACATTACTCATAAGTTTCACCAGAGAAATTTCATAAACACCACAAATTAGCAAATTCCTCGTAGACCCGACACCAAAATATCCTATTCTATTCTGAATAATTTAAAATACCTGATGTTAAAAAACCCATTCATTCGAATAACTGAATTGTTTAAAAAAATAAAGACCGAATAGTTTATATTAAACGACTCTTAGTGTTGTAATAAATTATTGAAATTCGCGTCGTTTCCCATTTATGCCACAATCGGTATTTGAAAAATGTAGTAGAAACACATTCCGTGCGATATTTGTCGAGATAGAATTCCAAGAAGACCCCTGCGTAACTTTCTTGGAATTAACCGCATTCGACACCCGAGGGAGAAAGACATTGGCGGTGCGGCGTTCAGCTTCCAGTGCATACTTTGTTTTCTCCCTTTTTTGTACCAGCTTGTTTATAATTGTATTATCTTCTAGTTTACTTATGATTTGTACTCTACTGTTCTGTAAAGGAAATAAAACAAAACATTTTATTCCAAAAAATCTACTTTATATATATTTTAATATTCTGAAAATAACACGGAAAATTTAAAGGCACGCCCATGCCGTTGTAAAATGTTACAGTAGTTTCGATAACAGAATTGTATTGGCTTATTCGTGGCGTAGACCTAATGGTTTGTCATTGTTCATTGTAAACGAATCATTAATATTGGTGACGCCAAAGCTTAGGGATTTTTCGTTACCACTACCAGCCCTGCAATGTTGCGGCTTGTAAACATTTATGAATGCTTCGTACATGATATATAAATAAATGTACGTATATCCTTACCTTTATGCTAATCATTAAAATATTAACTGCCGTGTTTTTATTGTAAGTACTTGCAGTCTATTCATTGTTAATAGACAACATTAGTACTGCAGTGGCGTGGGTACTAATAACTAACAAACAAATAGAGTAATAAAAAATTAATGATTCATTTTCAAAATTCAACTTCTAAGACATCCAAAGGTGGCTCTTATCATTATCGACTACATTCCATTTGGAAAGTTGACAATTTCAAAGATAGGATATCTGCAAGAATTTAATTTTCAGTGTTTTATTTTATTAGTTTTTCTAAGTAACTTATCTGGTAGATGGAAACTTATGAATCATTAAGTAGCAATAAACAGGAAGTGCAATTACTATAAATTACGTTTAAGTAATACAAGACAATTGACAGGAGACATTTTCGACTGTGTAAGGTGAGTGAAGTCGATATACCCAAAATAGTAAACTGTATACCAGGGGACTAAACTGTATTTTAATCCTGATTATTGATATGGTTTAAATTGAAATGATGAAAAATATTTAGCACACAGGATTACAATTACAAAAAACATCATAACTGCGTTGACAAACATTTCAAATGCATTAGCAAATCTCCGTTCACTTTCGTTAGAAGTAAAAGTAAAATACTCCCTGGACCTAAAGTGACACTATTCTAATTAAAGTTAGGGACTAAAACATTACATTTACTCCATTGCAAAATAGTATAAGAGGCCAAAGTGCATCTTTTAATCTCAGCAGGAAGAAAAGCAACACTTTACTCCCTGAAATGAAGGGCTAAAACTGTACTTTTCAATAACAAAGTTCAAAATAGTATATTATATGCCAAAGGACTAAAGTGCATCATTTAATCCGAATAGAGAAGTTTGTTTAATTCCAGGTGGACTAAAACCAACTCTACTCCTTCAAAATAGAGACTAAAACTATATTTTTAATTTACAAACTGTAAAAGAGTACTTATATTATAACGAAGAGACTAAAGTGCATATTTTAATCAAATTACCTGAACTAAAAGTAACACTTTTCTCCTTGAAGACTAAAGAGTATTTTTAGTACAAGTCCCAAACTCTGCTCATTGAAAATAAACACTAAAATTGTATTTTTATTTTACGAACTGCAAAATAGTACGTATAGTATAACCAAGAGATTAAAGTGCATCTTTTAATACCAATAGCGCAGTTTATTTAAACCCTGGGTGACTAAAAACAATTTTGCTCGTTAAAAATAAGGACTAAAACTATATTCTTAATTTAAAAAATGTAAAATAATACGTTTTTTACATCCAAAGGACTAAAGTGCATCTTTTAATCCCAATGAGGATCATTAGAACTAAAAGTGACACTTTCCCATTTGCCAATCGATTAAATATATATTTTAATCATGAGGGATGACTAAAGTGCATCTTTTACTCCCAATAGCATACTTTATTTAAACCCAGGAAGACTAAAAGCAACTTTACTCTTTAGAAATAGAAACTAAAATTATATTTTTAATATACGAACTGTAAAATAATAGATATATTAAAATCCAAGGGACTAAAGTGCATCTTTTAATCCCAATGAGGAACTTTGGAACTAAAAGTTACACTTTACTCACAGAAATTTGCCAATCGATTAAATGGTAAATTTTAATCAAGAGGGAGAAGTTTGTTCTAATAGTTATCAAATTACCTGAATTAAAAGTAACAGTTCTCTCCCTGAAGAGTATTTAAAAACACGAAGTGCAACAAAGAGGCATCGCAGCTCTCGTGTAAGCAGTACATCTTTTAATCCCGTTGGTGAAGATTGCTTAATCCCAGGTGGGCTAAAAGAAATTTTACTCTTTGAAAATAAAGACCAAAACTATATTTTTAATTTACTAACTGCAAAATGGTACGTATAGTATAACAAAGGGACTAAAGTGCATCTTTTAATCACAATAGCGAAATTTATTTAAACCCAGGAGGACTAAAAGTGACTTTACTCCTTGGAAATAGAAACTAAAATTATATTTTTAATTTACGAACTGCAAAATTGTTCCTATATTACAACCAAGGGACTAAAGTGCATCTTTTAATCCTAATGACGATAATTAGGCGGACTAAAAATGATACTTCATTCCCTGAAATTAGATACTAAAATTTGCCAATCGACTAAAGTGCATATTTTAATCATGAGGGCGAAGTTTGTTCTAACAGTTATCAAATTACATGGACTGAAAGTAATACTTTTCTCCCTAAAGCTAGAGACTAAAGAGTACTATCCCATTGGCAAAGTTTGTTAAATCCCAAGTGCACTAAAAGAAACATTACTTCTTGGAAATAGAAAATAAAATGTTTAGTTTATAAACGGCATAACTGCATCTGTATTATAGACAAGGGACTAAAGTGTATCTTTTAATACCAATACTTCTTGAAAATAGTATATATGGATTATTTACTACTATACTACTACTATATTACACCTAAAGCGTACTAAAATTAACTCACTCTTTATTTCTTTAAATTATATTAGAATTTGCCAATCGACTAAAGTGTATAGAGTCCTTTAAAACAATGAAGTACAAAAAAGTGCCTCGTGTCAACATTAATAGCGTGTCGTACTGTATATTTACGAAAAAATATATGAGATTTGTGTGCTGTTAATTAAATTTATCTTAGATAAAGACGAAACAAACAGACATTTTGGTGTTTAGTTAAATTTGTTATAATAGGATTATAAAGTCCTTGTACGCGCACGGTTATAAAAAGATGCTACATTTGTTGTATTGTATTATATTTATTTGTTTACTTCTATTCAAAAGCGAGATAACAAACATAATGTCGCGCTTATTACGTTAAATTTAATGAAAATACATTCATTATTTAGTGTGGTGTAACACCGTATTGTAATTTAGACGAAAGCTAGGCGAGGGCGCAAAAAAAAGGAAATGTGTTTTTCTAATACGATTATCGAAATGTGCGTATAATACGCCCCTGTGGATCTCCAGTCAAGGCAGGTGTAGTTAGTTTGCTTTTGCATTTCTCTAAACTCTAAATATAACTGTGTAAACAACATCTCTCATACGGGCGAGGCGAGCAGACAAGTAAACAGTAAACAACACAGCACATAATGTGCCGCACGATCGTGTGCCTACACTCAGTATGTTTCTGACTATATTTCGTACCGCGTCGAACTTTTCACCGCGATTATTCAACTGGTCTGGCTTTTAAAATTCCCGCTCCGTCGGTGTTTCGTTACGTAACCGTTTGGTGTGCTTTGATAAATTTGAAAGTTCGTGCGATGCTCTAAGTGACACCTCATTTCCTTCTCAATGCCTCAGATGCCGCAAAAAACTCCTTTTCGCCTGTCGTGTGACGCTATTTAACCCCGATTTGGATACTTTAGGTAAATTTTATGGTTTTAACGTTACTTACACTGTTTATTTTTTCAAAACTAACTTTCTTTTAATTATCACCCACCGCCGAAACACTTTTCCGATGAATTGCGTATCAATGAAGGTTTGTTTGAAGGTATTCAAATTTGGGGTAATTTCCCTCATATTAAAACAAAAATTAACCAAAAAAACAGTTTAAATTAAAATAGGAATTATGCAAAATCGGTATTCTGACGTAAACTCTGTTTCCTTTACCGCAGTTTAATAAAATTTGCCAAAGGAACACTTTTACTTGTAATATTTTTGTTAGTTACTGATTTGATTAACGCATACAATAACAGTCTTAAGATAAGGTATATAGTTATCTCAACAATTTGTTATTTGAAGGTTTATTTCGTATAAAAAATGTAACATTGATTTTTTATACAAAACCGTTTGAGTTTTCTTTAATTCTGTGTAATTTTAAATATTTTATTACTTGTTTCGAAGGTGTCGATAACAATTATCTTTACTGTACCTACAAGGCAAAGGTTATTGTGGAATAAAAAATATTTGAACCACTTTTCAATGGACCATTACATACGCAAGGCTTATTATTACCATTTTTATGAAACTAGGAAAAAAAATAATTAACTATATTTCTTTTAAACGAATGCCATGCGATGAAAATATAGAAATAAAAGATTCTGACGACATCGTTTCACGTTTTTTTCATACAATTTAAGCATCGTCTCCGATCATACCATAACGTTATTGGATATATACACGTAGGTAAATATAATTATTGTTTATTTTTTTAAATGTTCATGGTTAATCGTACTGGGTATTTGTAAATTATATAACGATAATTAAATATTATGACGCCACTTTTTGGCGAACTAAAAACAAGTATTACACTATTCGCCAATGTTTCCAATTTCGTATGGAACATACGTAGTGCCGCAAGGTTCTATTTTGATCCCTTAAAACACTACTTACTACATAACTTCTTTTTTCGTTCATTCACTTTAGTAGAGCATACATTTCGTTTTTGATCCTTAAACGACAGTTAACAATAGTAGATTTGACAAAGCTCCAGAGTCAAACTATATTTATATTGTTATTACAGCGTCGTTACAATTATGTAATATGTTTGTGAAGAAGATAAAAAAGCTTTAATGCCATTATCGATTTTCACTGCGTAAGAGAGTGACAACAGATGGATCAAACGAAATTAATATAACGCTACAGGATTATTATTAAAAATGACAGTCAAAAACTGACAGTCTGCAAACCAATCAAGGATTAATTAAAGAAGAAATTCTATATCTATTTTGTGATTCCAAAGAATTGCTAGACTTATTTATTTACATTATCGACTTGTCAACTTTAAAAGAGTAAAATAAAAATATTCTATTTCGTTATCAGAAAACAATCGCGAATAAAAATTGAGGAACCTATTATGTTTAAAAATGAATTTACGATTTCAGTAGATAATAATCTCGTCGGAGTATTACTGGAAAATAAATTTAGTAAATACTTAAAACCTGTAGTCGCACTATTGTATAAAGTTAATTCAGAGGCGTGCAAAAATTATTGGGTGCTGTTTTTTGTTAGGTTTGCAAGCGGTCCTCAAACGAGTCCATACTAATCTACTTTTCGATCGTAGTGATGAAAACGCATAAAATGGTCAACGCTCTTATTGCGATTGAGAACCAATTGAACACCAACAAAGTATTTACCAGTATAGTAAGTACAATATTTAAACATAAAAAGCAGTGTTGCTTTTGTTTATTTGTTTATGCGCTTGAAACGGAGTGCAATAATATCGACACCTTATCAAATTACTGTAAACAATGCCCTTCCACAATCAACTCTTGTTATAACCTAAAATATTCATCGTACGTACGTAGGTATTCAACGTTTATGTCTACTAAAATTATTAACATTTTGATTTTTGAAGTTTCCACCTATAATTACAACAGAAGTCAATAGCCTGTTTGACGAAATTATACTTGGCCATAAACAAATTTTAATAGCAACATAATTCTCAATAAAATAAAATCAGTTATTACATGAAGTATTTAATTTAATTTGACTGTTTTATTTGTTGATTAGCATTTTCTGAATGTTTTCTTCTGAAATTAAAACGCAAAATCAGTGTTTTTTTTAATCTGTATCGTTCACATATCAAAGCCTCTAAGTTTAAAAGTGCGTGCAAAAATTGCTTGTTTATTATTGTACATTTGACGATTAATATGAGAACTATTGGCTATCTTCCATGTATCAACACAACAACTTTTTTAATTTAGGTAGACAAGGCATATCCAGTCTAACACTGTAGCAGCTTCTACCTCAAAAAATAAATAACAGTAACTTATAAATTTAACTCTGAAACAGCGTTAATTCCTGCTTGAGAAAAAATACTCAACTAATGTCAATTCACTAAAACTGTTTTACTTAAACACTTACATAAATCACTATTTTATTGTGAAAAATACATATATTTCTATATGGGTGTATTTTGTCTAACTGTTAAATCGGTGATAAAAAAGTTATTATTTAGTAAAAGCGAATTTTGACTAACAAATAGTTGCTTTTAAACGCTCAACAAAACGTGTTTATATTACTTTTTCAAACAAGAGCTATGTTTTTCGATATAGCGCTAGAAGTTTATACGTAATTGTTAGAATATTTATCTAAAACGAATTATACCAATCGTCAGATGAGATTCCTCTCACCCTGCCCATGCTAGTAAAGTAAATAAACTTGCATCTGGCTGTTTCAAAGTATAAGTCACACAGCAGAAATATTCTTTGTATTTTCTATTGGTATTTATTTTCTCACACAAGCAAATGTACGAAAAACTACCTACTTCCTCCCTATCTCTAGAAACAGTGTGTGCAATGGACTAAATAAACTTATTTTTGTTACATGACGACGGAAGTAAGGAATTCTATAAAAGGATTAATAAATTTTACAACGGTTTAGAATCAGTTCTCCCAGTTGAACCAGTTATATTTTGAATTCATTGAAAATAATCTGCGTGTCATAATCAGCCAAGATTTGCAGAAAAAATAATTTTGTGTTTAGCTTATTTGGCGATAATTATCAAAGCAAATATATTTATCACTGTTGTGTTACGCTTAGATTCGTTGGTACAATTACATACAATATATGTTGCGAACATAGCAGCAACGTAACTGGTTTAGATGATATGATAAGGAAATGAGAGGAAACGTTATTTTAGGGATATGTTTTCATCACACAATACATCTACAATGATACATTGTTTTCCCAAAATAAAAGACAAATTCAGTAACATCTTTGTAAAAAATACTAGCCCTACAGCTTTTAATATACCGGGACATGGTTTTTTAAATTCCGGCGACAAAAATAGAAAAGTAGGCCTATAATTTTTTTTGGGCGCCAAGTCACCCGAGGGCGCTCTGCCTATGAGCCCCCTAAGTAACTATCAATAAATAATTATCTAAATTTAGTGAAAGGCATATATGTTACAACGAAAATTCGATTTTCAACTGTCACTTCAAGAGTTAATAACATTGCAGGGTGAACTCGAAAAAAATTGTATGAACTTGTGACATTATTAAGTAATAATTATACGTGTTAGTAATTCCTCGTGGTTCGTTGTTTTATTTTATTATTCAGATATTTAATTAAAAAATCAATTTTCGTTTCAAGTAATCAACATTTATCACCGGATATGATTCTGGCTTTTGAGATAACTTGGCCTGTAATAATATGTACAAGAAGTGAATAGTTGAGCTTATGAATAATTAATTCAGGATACTGATTACTTTTAACACCTTTGTTATCGTTGTTTTTATTTATTTATTGCTCAGATCCTTTGTTTTGTATGACTTCCTCCCTTCAAAGATTAATACGACCGAATTTAGTTTCCGGTCAGACACAAAGTAGCTTTTACAATTTTTTTTTACCGCACATTCAAATATAAAAACAAAACACAATAATCCAGTATCAATTCGATAAATATTTTATGTAACTGTTACGTCTTAAGAGGCGAAATATTGTATACAGGATGTTAGTAAAATTCTGCAACAATTTCTAATGACGTCAGTATATGTAACCGTTGCATTTTGACGACCAATATTGTCGAGCTGTTTTGGTTTTTGTTGAAGAAAATGTGAAAGCGTTTTAATGTCCTGTAAGTAGTGCCTAGTAAATAGTTATTTGGCAATATTTTGTAGAAAAATAACATTTATCGCAACAGTGGCAGTTAGTTGTGAATACATGTGTTGGTAAATAACGACGAGTTATTAAGTGATGAGTACGGTGATACAAATAAAGTGTAAATTATTGTTCTAATACTTGCGTTGATTGTATGAAACATAAATAACTTAATATGGTTGGGTATACGCGAGTATGTGTGGCCGTTGAAGATAATTTTAGTCTTGTGTTAGAAATTAATGTTAATATTGGGTTTAATAAAACAAAACACATGTGCGATGCATTTTATTTGTTCCTACAGCATGTTGCTTGTTTATTTATCGAGTATAATAGCATTAAATCAAACGATGTCAGTTCCACTTAGATTGTTTAAAATTTGAGTAAATTAATTAATCTCGGTTTTGTTAAATTGAACCGAATGGTATTAAAAATAAAGTAATAGTCATTTGATATATATATTTGCATATTTGTACCAGGATCGTAATTTGCTTACTCTTAATATTTACTTTATTTCAGGCGATACATCTAAGCAAAAATTTTCTTTGCTAAACAAATCTGTTTTCTCTCATATGCTTAGTATAAACTATTTTTTGAGGATATTTGTAGACTATTATATAATAAAACAAAAATAAACAAATATCTTTTTTAAGGAATTTGCAATAAATCAGATCAAAATATTGTTTACATCCAGTACAATGAAATAACTGACAATTTTAACACACAACATGTGGTGGTTAATTCAACTATTCAGCAATTTCTTTTCAAACTCAAATATACAAAACACTGTAAACTATGCCTTCGACATTTTATAGCGCAAATTTAT